CGGAAAACACGACTGATAAGTAGGATTTAGTAGAAGAAGCGGAAAGGTGGAGTACAGAGATCTCATCTGCGCTCAACTTTTTATCAGCCCCAGTACTAATACGTATGTAATCCTTAGAACTTTTTTTTTTTTTTTTTTTTGCTTTTAAAGGTAAACATACAATTGACTGTTAATGGGAGGGTACACTGCCTCGAAAAAGTAAAATACATTTAAGGTTGTATATCTGAGACAAAATTTCTAACTATTATTATTTATATAACATAGTAGGGATGCAATAGCCAGTTTTTTTATTTTTTATACTAAACTCCACATAAACGCAACACATTTTGATTCAAATATATTGCTCGATGCCCAACGAGCACATTTTATTATTTTTACCCTACTTACCTAAGTACACGCATTCTGCTAACGTCAGCCTGACTACACGTCGAAAACATCCGAACTTGCTTCCCCCTACAGTGGATCTTTTCCCATAACGAGCCTGAGTACACATATGATGTAGCAGCACATAAGTAATTCTGCGGATAGACGGGGGCTGAATTGGTGCACAGGCACAGAGGAGGAGAACGTGAAAGGCAGATCGTTTTCCAAATGCTCATTTTTAGCCGCCGTGTTTTGGGCACGGTGCAGCCGAGCTGACGCGCTGAAACACAGAGTTTTTGACACAATGGTGTCATCGTCGAGGACTGTGATGTTCAGCTCACACAAGCAAAAGCGCCGCACCTGCTGGCAACACACGAGCGCAGACAGAAAAGCGTCATCAAAAGCTGCGTTGCAATTAGTGTCTTTGGGAGATGTCGCGGATCTTTATGACTCATTTGCCTTACATTGTTTCGTTAAGGAGACGTGTGGCATATGGTATCCGCTAAGAAAGGCTGCCGCAATCTGGAAACCGCAACGGCGGTGTCAATTTTTTTAGAAGGGTAATAATAACATGAAAGTTTCTTATCTTTGTACTTGGTGTTGGAGTATTAATTTCATCAGATAATTTGGAATGATCTAGGTTAAATGTGTAAAAAGCTACAGTTCCTAAACCACAACTAATTACGAGTAGATTGTTGGCATATTTCAGTTTATTGTGCTGTTGTTACATGATGTGACTTTACATACTAATTTGATCCATATATATATATATAATATATATATATAATGGTCCAGAAAACTCCTACGAAAGTAAGGTCAGATACCAAAAGTCTTTGTGTGTCTCAGTTGGTAGAGCACATGCAACGTGCTGAAGCTGTTCTCCTCAACACAGTTGTCCTGGGTTCAATTCCCGGTCTCGGGCCGTTTGCTGTACGTCTTTCCCATTTTCTTTCTTCCCCATTTCCTCTCCATGCACTGTTAAATAAACCCCCCTAGAGCCAAAAAAATATATAAAAGAAAAATAAAAGTTTTGGCTAAAGAAAGTGGCTGTTCGGAGTGCTGTATTCAAGCATATTAGTGGAAGGTTGAATGGAAGGATATATGAAGTAGAAAAAGTTGCACAAGCAGTAATTTATTCACATGATGTGAACTGCAGCTGAACTCATTGCTTTTAAGAGCCAGCACACATCTATCTATAACATGAGCCAAACTGCTGCTTAAATGAACAACAAATATCGCCAGAAGTATCATACCTAGGATTAGAACAAAAAGGAGATGTTTAAGGAGATGTTGATTTAATTTTCCATCAAGTCTTGGCACCTGCCTTCACTGCCAAAGGTACCAAAAGCTTGTTGAATGACCATAGTAATGCTGTGCCTGATTAGCCAGCAAACTATCCTGAGAATCTGTGGTGTATTAATTGTCAGGAACAAGATAAGACACTAGAACCAACAAACCAAATGACCTGAAATACAAGATTTCAGAAGGAATAAATTTTTGGGGTTTCATTATCTTTAAGCCATATGCATAAAGATTCCGATATGTAAAAGCTTAAAATATTCACTTTGTGTAATGAATCTATATGAGTTTTACTTTATGAAATACATGATGAAAAATATTGAACTTTTTTCTATTTTTGTTATTGCTTTTTTAAATTTAGCTACTTCTAGTTGGAAATTCCTCGTGACAGTGCAAAATCCTCGTGATGGATGCTGTGTGCATCCATCACGACAAGCAATCGTGTTCTCTAAACTGATCTGGATAAGGATGTAAATGCTAACTTTATTGTACTAAAGTGTACCTTAGCATTCTGCAAGCTAGCATGTTAGCATGACAGTGATAACGTCACAACAGCTAGCATTTCAAGATTAACATTACAATAACTAGATTAGCATTAGCCTCCTCAATCTAAAGAATATTATGTGTAGTATAAAACCGTAACATTAAAATAGTAACAGACTGTGTCAAATTTCCATCGCAACATATATTTCCAACGTTGCCAGTGACAGAGTGAGAAACATGCGTTGGATCTGTTAAACGTGGATGTAATTTCGAGAGAGGTGATGAGTGTTCAGATGGTATGTGAACCAAAACTGTTCAGAGATATTTTGTGTGTTATTCAAAGGCATGTGAGATGACGCAATCCGTAAAGGGGTAACGGGTCAGTTTCACGTTGACAGATGTTACCTCGGATTTACGCGTTTACTCCGGTGTATCCTGACTGTTTACGTGACAGACACTTGACACGTGATTATGTAGCCCCAATGTGTCGAAGTAGCGTTGCAGAATGCAAAAACACTCAGTTCTAATAAAGTGAGTAAATGAATGGGTGAACCATCTTGTGCAACATGATGTTACGAGCATTTCTGGGTAAAATTTCCACAATGTGCTCCTGCATTAAGCACTAAGCCAGCTGCAGTCGAACGTCACATTAAGTTTTGTAGAAAGAAGCTTCGTCAGTGTCAGTGTGCAGTGAATTACCACTTGTTTATTACTACGTCAGATCTTTTAAACCAGGGGTCCCCAAACTTTTTCCTGCGAGGGCCACATAGCTGTTCCTTTCTGTGGTCGGGGGCCGGTCTTAGTTTTTGCAGTAAAAAAAAAACAAAGAAATTCTTGTCGACGGGGGGGAGGAGACGACGACACTTTTGGAAAGATTTTTACCCAGAATGCAAATGGAAAAAACCGTGAGTGAAACGGTGACTGACTATTATATATTCCATTGAGGGAAAGTAAGTTTCACATTTGCTCAAAAGCCCCCTGGTGGTTGAAAAAAAATCCACATATAAACCGGAAAATACAATATATGAAAAAAAACACTGAATGCTCTCTGGTATGAGCAGGCGGGCCGGATCCGGCATTGTTCAGGGGGCCGGACCAAATGACGTGGCGGGCCGGATCCGGCCCGCGGGCCGCAGTTTGGGGACCCCTGTTTTAAACATTCAGGTGTGGCACTGGAAAAAAACAAACAAAAAGCAAATAAGGCTTAAATTTTATCCAACTGCTCCCACTTGGCACCCATTTAAGAGGTCGTGTGTAGACAGGTAATATCTTCACCTCCATCTCAACATTCTGGTGGTTTTACGAGTTGAGCCGCTGTCTCTGTTGGTTACTGTTCAGCGGAAGGTCATAAATGGGCGATTTATGTCTGAAGTGCAGCCAGGAATGCTGATGGTACTGTCAGAGAGCAGAGATACTGTCTGGTCTGACTCATATTTAATGGAATCTGTAACGTCCACAACTCCATGTCCTAACTCATGCACTTCACGCTGTGTGCTCACACACAGAGAGGGAGTTAACATCCTCCAGCTGAGCGGCGGATATTATATAGAACGGCCTAATATGACGGATAAAGATAAGGCTGTAAATTGGCTCCCTTGTAGCACTAAAAGCAGTTTTTGCACTTTCAGCGTCTTGCATCACTTTCCAAATCTAATTTAAGCGCGGAGTCGACTGCCGGCGCCAAAATTAATCGTCATAGCAAGAGCGAAGAACACTTCATTAGCTCCCAGCGTTCCAGTGCAGTCTGCAAAGTATTACCTAAATGAAATGCACGAAATTAAATGCATGAACACAATCTGACAATGTGATAACTATAACGGAGTTCATTAACGCAACAACAGCTAATACAATGCTGCATCGATTAGCACCTACTCTCCCCCTCTGCGTCTGGTATCTGGACTTCCACAAACCGCCATTGTTAAGATATGGGCATTTTAATTGCTGTAGACAGGGGTCCATTAGCATAGCTTCTTGGGTGGCTGTGGCCATGTTTCTCTAAATCATTAAGCTAATTATACGAGCTAATTAATCAGTATGCTTGGAACGAGGTGCAAGAGCGGGGCCGCTCTTTGTTGGCTTGCATAATGAAAGGAGACCACTTTTAGATGGGGGGGAAAGGGAGGGAGCAGAGCAGAACTTTGATCTGCAAAGTAAACATATGATTTTTTTTCTTTTTTTCTTTTTTGCATGTCAAGCACTCGAGCAGCGAAGAGATAAACTTGAAAAGTAAGAAGGAATGTTCTGAAGGAAAAAAAAAAAAGAAAACGCCTTATTGATGCAGAATATTGGAGATGGTCAGGAGGGGAGGTGTCTGACATCCAATTATTGGTGTCATTTTCATGCAAGATAACGCACAGACTGGGGAAATGTCAATCACCGGTGCTGCTGTGACATTCTGGAATGCGCTTTACTTCTCTCATCTCGGTTAGTTCGACGCCGGACTGCAAATGGCGAAGACGGTCACGGGCTGTACGCAGTTTTGACAAGGTTTCGTGCACAGTTTACCACTTTCTCAAAAAGCTAAGGTTGTTCTTTAAAGCGAGCCGTCACTGTCAAAAATTAATACGTGCATGAAAAATCATCCCACCAACCTTTCTTTTTGTTTAGGATGAAGGTTATGTCGGCACACGTTGCAGGAGCCCATTTTTAGCTGCTCTTATTATGCACAGTGGGGAAAATCAGTTTGTGAAATGTGCTTACACACTTTAAAAGAATGTGCTGATAACAAAGCTGTGTGTGTGTGTGTGTGGTTTTCAATTCATGTTTATCCCCACTGTTGTTTTTTGTTGTTGTATAAAACATTACGATACACTAGCGCATAATAAATCCTCTCCTCTTTGTCTTTTTGCTTCCAGGGAAATTCTGAGGAGTTCTGTTCTGTCTTCGCTCTTTGTCTGAGGCAGCAGTCGCAACCGTTTGTTCCAAACAGGGTAAGATCTACGTTTTATAATCCTGAAAGAAAAAAAGAAAAAAAAAAATTAAAGATCATCAAGATTTGTTTGGGTTTTTTTTTTTTTTTTTTTTTTCCATTTCGTTTTTTCCCACCAAACTTCTTTCTGTGCAACAACAGGCAAGAGCTAGTGCTGAAAAACATTGCTATTGTGGGCTTACGGAAACTAGCAACTAGCAATAAATTAATAAATTAGCTTGCAACGAATTAAATGTTTGAAATTCACACATCTACTCGCAAAAGAAGTCCTACAGATTACACACTTTGTGTAGAAAGTTTCTGTTCGCTATGATTCTCTGCTGAAACTGACACTGTGACACAGGAAAGAGCAATTGCTTCCTAGAAGTGACCTTTTTGGTAATGCATTGATACGTTTGTTCTGATCAAAACAGTTCTATGCTTTTTTTTTTTTTTTTTTTTCTAAATATCATCTGCTCCGGCACAAATCCCCGTTTACAGTGGAATCACTTTAGTTGGGGGGAGCAGGATAGGGTAACCTCTATCGATGTATTTCTTCTTCTAAACAAATATTTTTCTCTGAGTTCAAATATCAATGTGCCAAACAATATGAAAAGGAAAAGGGTAAACAAGTGAAGCCAGAGAAATCAAATGAGGGGTCAGACAACTAAATGGTGTTAGTATGGATTCATGCACAGAAAGCACGCATGTCTGGACATGATCTATTGCTTAGTCGCAGTAAATTGGTTTGCCTTTTGAGATTTGATTTCTTGCAATAATTCGCTTTGGTGAATAAAGTGAGTTTAATCTCTCCGTCTCAGTCAATAGTTCGGCATAACACCACAACTCGCAGTTTGTTCGGTCTTGGTTGCAGATTTTATTGTTTCGCCGACTGAAAACATCAGAACGGCACGGATTAGCGGAGCCAAAGCATGCTAATGGTGCCCTCTGGAGTGCAGAAATCACTACTGCTGCCGGTGTCTTGTTTGTCACCGAGAAGAGGATGCGCCCACTCACACCTCTCCCAGCATTTTGCCTGAGGACTGACAGGTGCTGTCAGCACTTTGTGGCACCGTGTGAGCACGCATGCCAGCAAACACACACAGGGAGCTGATTCCCGAGGAAAATCGGCGGTGAGCTCACCCGATTCGTGACCCAGAAGTGCCTCACACTCACCCTCGTGTGTCAAAGTAATTGTACCATTTACCTTTCCGCTGCGGTGTCACACATAAAGTACCACTTAACTCTCCACTCATTAGTTCGCACAACCACAAAATGCCCCATATGCTCTCATAAATCAGCTCCTCTCAAAAAAAATGTCTCATTATCATCGGCTTAACAGCGGTCTGGTCGGGATCATTAAAAGTGCAGTTCGTGTCCTCTGGAAGTTGAGTGAAGTTACCCACTATCACAGTGGTGTTTTTCAGATCAGTGAGCAGCGCTGCGGTTTCCCCCCCAGAGGATTTGCGGGTCCAGCTGTAATTGGAGCGTTTGTGTTGCTGTGAGTTACTGTTCCCTGGGTAGAGGCCAGCACGGAGCAGAACATTCTTGTACACATCCAAAGGATTTGCTGTGAACTTATCAAGTGCTCTTGCAGGGAAAGTAATGTGGAGATCGAATCATCGATGGACTGTTTCCGCTTTTTAAGACGAGGCTCTTACTTTAATTCTCCTTTTTACTCCCCCTGCCTTAAAATGTACAGGAGTCCTTTTTTTTTTTTTTTTTTTTGTTTCCACACAGGAGTTATTATGAGAAATGTTTGCAAGACGTGCATCGCTGGGACCAAAAACTAATCCATGTTACAGATTTTTTCTGGTCTTTTTTTTTTAATCACACTTATTTAGATCAAAATATATAAGAAAAAAAGATAAACCTACAAATACAAAAGCAGTTTTCAGTTGATTTCATTGTCATATAGAGACAAAACTGTCCAAATTGACCCAGAAGCCGTTTTTAAAGAAAGTAATGTGTTTTGGGTCCAGTTTCATTTGCCACACCCAGGCCTGATAACTTCCAATCAAGAATACAAATAACTAGAGCTTGCATGGCAACATAAAGTAGACTAAAAGATGAAAAAGTAGCACATGCACTAATCTAAGGAAGCATAAGGAAGGAGAGCCCAGGAAACCACCTAAAGTACTGCAGACTGCAGTATTATGTTAAGTCGACTTTTTTGAGCTTTACATCATGTTACGTTGCATCATAAAACATACCTGGAGTGCCCATTTTTGAGAAATCATTTAACGTCGCAGTGCAGTCACTCAGCTGTGCAAAACCCCTGGTTGGACCCTAGCGCTGCCTTCGAGGTGCAGCTCCTCCACAGAGCTGCTGTTTCCGCCTCGCAGAGCATTCCTTCCCCCAGCGCCGCCTCGATTCAGCTCCACCAGCCAGCAGCACTTAGCAAACACCTGCTGGAAATGCACATCTGCTGAGCTCGTTGGTACAAGCTACTTCTTAGTGCAGCCCTGGTAAAAGTGTTGTTAAAGGGCTAATAGAGGAGAAATGTTGCGATGACTTCCTGAAGGGAGAGTTTCAGAAAGAGTCGGAGATTTTAAAGAGACAGAGGCCCAAATTCAAGGTGTTAAATATCAGACAAATTTCTTCCGAGTCATATTTGATATATGGGTAACACTTTATTTGAAGGGGTGTGCATAAGCCTGACAGGACACTGCCATAAACATGACATAACACCTGTCATGAACATAAACATAAATGAAGTGTCATTCAGTAAATAATGACACTTTTAATGCAAAGTTGCTCTAAAAGTTGCATTGAAAGTCCATTAAAAATGCCATCTTTGCATTAAATTATCATCATTTACAAAATCATGCAAGTCAAGAAGATTTACTGAATGACACTTCATGGCAACTGTCATAAACATTCATAAAGACTTCTTTATGTTCATGACAGGTGTTATGTCATACTTTTGACAATGCCATGTCAGTCTTATTCACACCCCTTCAAATAAAGTGTTACCGATATATGTAACATTTTCATGACAAGTGAAGGTTAACGCAGTTTCTTGATTGTGCTACAAAATGACACAATGTGCCAGAAAAACACATAACACTGCCCCTTTAAAGTCAGTGTTCTTCTTTCAAACACATTAAGAAACTGAGCAAAAATGGGATCCAGGGAGATTGAAAGGGAAAAAGTCCACTGATCAACATTTCCAGAAAACGTTTTAATTGATACCAGGTATTCTGGGAAAATATTTTGTGACCTGGAGAAACAAATCTAACTCCGCGAGTTGTCCTTAAACAGAGTTTTTGTGCTTAAAACCTCTCCACTGTGACACAGAATTAAAACAGCTGCAAGAGTAGGTTAAAATTATTTCAAAAACCTATTTCCAGTTCAAACAGTCACCAAGAGTGGTACGACTCATTAGGGGTGAAAAATATAACTTTGGTCAGGTTGGTTTGGATGGCTTCTTCCATTAATACATAAAATTGTATTTTTGCATTGATTCAGATTAACCTTGTCTGATATAATAATTTGTTTGATTACATGAAACATTTAACTGTGACATAAAAAAAAGCAAACTCAGAAATTCTCTTCCATAGCCTTGAGCTGTGCTCATTTTGAAGAATTGATTGATGATGAAGTGATTTAAAGTAAATATGACAGGAAAAATATAACTTTGGTGGAAAGGCAAGACAAGGGAAAAAAAAACCCTCCAAGTGCAGTCAAGTGAGTTTGACTAACTTTATAAAGCATAAAGTGAATGACAGAGGTAGACTCGTCAGAGAAGTTCAGTCTGTTGGGAGTGGCATTTGAATGGTCTCTTGGAAAAGCATCGAGGCGTTAAATTTAAATTGACTGAGCAGCTTCTTTGCACAGACTTGAAAACACTTTGTAAGTGATGTTTTTAGTGCATTTTTACTTTGAATGTGCATCCGTCTACCTGTCACATGCACTTGTGCTATAAAAAGACCCCTGAATTTAGACCCGTAGCAGGTCAGTTTAGGAGGGAAAAAAAATAAAAAATGGAAATTATACTCCATAACCCTATTGAGAAAAGCCTATGACTGCTATTAAAACGACGACTGTCATGAAAAGACACATTGAAATCATGTATCGTACTGATCTAAATGTCTTTCCTCTAGTGAAGGCATAAATGAAGTCATGAATTAGCTTACAGTAGCATCCAAACTTCTATGTGGTGTGACCTGACTGACCACTGGTCCATCCCGCCCCCTTGTAAGGTTAGAGAACCTGATATAATTGTGTCTCCACACTTCTTAGATTTGATGTATTGCTTCGTGGCGGGCGTTGTGTCCGTTTGAGAATGTGTATGCACAACCAGGCCTGTGTTGTGGGGCAGCCGGCTGGGATGATTTATTATACGCCTTGGAGGGATTTTTGCTTTTCATGAGGCCACGAGTGACATGTCAACCAAACATGGTACACAGTTATTTTTATTTATTTATTTTTTTTGGGAGGGTGTGTAGGGGGGCTTCTGGCAATGGGGAAGCACGCCAAAACAGCGAAAACAAGTTCCACCTTCCTACAACTATCAACATACAGCTACGTATGAAAATAAACCCCCCCATCCAAAAAACTGCAATCCACTTTAATTCTGTAATTTGTACACTTCTGTTTTGCAGCAAAAAAAACATCTAAATATATAAAATTAACTTCAGTCTCGAGTAAATCAACATCAATTACTATACAAAACGATAAAATATATATATATATACTATTTACTTTCCCCCCCATACAATAGAGAGAGTTTCAGTAGATTTTTTTAAATGCCACTTTGCATGAAGCCATTTATCTCTCTAAGTTCAGGCCATCACTTCGAACCCATTGACTTGGCTGCTCACCCTCATGTGGAGACACTCAAGAAGAGCAGCTCTCTTTGGAGAGGTGGGGGGGGCGAAGGGAAGAGACCTCCAATAAATCCTGGGCTCAGGCTTGAAAGAAAAGAGAGTACTGAGCAAGTGAGTACGTTTTTGTAGAAGATAAAAACCAAACGTACACGGAGTTGGTGGCAGCACTACAATGCAGCAGTAGCTTTTGATCAAGGGAAACGCAATTAAAACTCTCCCAACACTGGAGCAATATTCCAACTCCACTGAGCAGGCAGCGACAAATGCTAGGTTTAAGGAGGAGTTGCTTCTGATGGAATTCCACAAACTCACGCAACATGTTTTAGGAACTTCTCCAAACAAAGGTATATATGAAGCCAGGACTGATCACGCCGGCTTGTCCTTCTCTCCTAGGTGGGGGTGAAGGGGGTTTTAGCTGCACCGGTGTGTCGGCGAGGTCGGCCTGCGGCAGCAGGGGCGGCATGGTGGCACCTGCATGAGCCCGACGGAGAAGCCTCGATTCTCTCGGTGAGTTTGTGTTCTTTCAAATAAACGAAACCAGAACGTCATCAGGACAACTGACTGCAGCACTGGTTTAAAATAAAATGTTAAGCATCATTATATATTTGAAGACGGCACTTTAGATGGACGTTCTAAAATCAACCATTGCTTGTTGGATGACGAAGAAGCTTTTGATTAAATTACATAATTCTTCCCCAACCGATTTCACTCATCAGCGAGAGGCCAGTAATCTGACGAACAAGATTATTGCAAATCATAATTTGCAGCTACATATTTGTAATATATTTAGTGATTTTCATTCAGTGTTTTAATGGTAATATGGTAAACTTAAAATCACAATCATAACGCTTGCTAGATTGTAATTGGATCTAAAAAGGGTATTATTGGCAGAGAGCGAATAAAAACTGAGTTACATTTATCAACCAAAGGAAAAAAGATATTTTATGAGATGAAAAAATGTTCTTTATTTTTTTTTAATGATTGTGGTTCAGAGTGATTTTTCTACATCCTTAAGCTATATCCACAACAATCATTACGTATTTGAAGTTCAAAAATAGCAATCGTTGCTGGAAATATTACTGAACTTATGTTTATAAATAATGGAAGCAGGATCTGCTGTTATCAAAAGATCAGGATATATAACTGTAAAGATCAGCCAATCAGCATTTCCCCATGCTGGGCCCGTATGTGGCAACGCTATGAGAGCATCCACAAGCGAGGCTGCCATTAAGTCACAATGAGGAGGCAGGGCGGGCGAAGTGTCTTGGTCAAGTGAGATGGACGGTTCTGGCTTTGAACCAGCAACCCGACGTTTACAGGCTGAGGCACCGCGTTCCCAGGGGGAAGAAAGTAAATGAGAATAATGGCAGAAATAACTCCACTAATGGCCTTGCCTAAGAAAGAAAAACGTGTACAGCTGTACTTTCTATGAAAAACAAAGGGTAAGAAGATGCACTCAATGCTACCAATAGGTCTTTCACTGGCCTTATCAAGAAACGAGACAGGCCAAAAAAAAAAAAAAAAAACTGTGAGGAGTACTTTCTATTAAAAAGAAAAACAAGGAGTACAAAATGTTGTTGGCAGCATTAACTACTTGTAAAAACAAATGGGATCTGGCAAAGAAAAACAGGTAAACACAGAAGTACTATGTATGGGAAATATACTGGAGTAGTACATTGTAATAAATATGTCAATAATTACTAATCAGCTGATTTTCCCAAGAAAACATCAGGAATTGTGTGTATCTTGTGAAAAGGAGACAAAAAAAACATCATTAAGGTAAAGAATAAAGAAAAAAAACATAAGGGGAAGAAAAACAAACACAAACAGAATTCTGGGAAATATCAGAGTGTATTTTGGCCACCGTCCTTCAGTGTCAAAACGTTCTACGAACAAGTTTCAACAAATAAATAACATTTAAACGAGCTTTTGATCCCGGGGATTTATGAAAAGTAACCCTAGGGAGCACTAATGTGATCAGTTGCAAATTCTCGGTGTTATTTCCTCAAATTTAACCAAGGCACTGAACATTAATATGTGCTCAGAGGGAAGATACACCCTGACCTGAGCCCCGCGCGGTGATGTAGCTGAGGAAATACATTCAGCCTGGTCATAAATATTGCACTGTGAGTACACGGAGGGCTTTTGGGTCTATGAATTATTACGTAGTCCAATGGCTCTGCGCCAGCCACAGAGTGTATCTCGCTCAGCTTTCGCTCGGCAGTAAGCTGCGACTGGGGAATTGCGGTTATAGGCCCAGCACATATAACTGCCAATGATACCGGGAATCCATCACGGTCGTCCCACATGTTGTGGTGTGCGCTGCCACATGAGCAGACGCAGAAACGGTCCGAAAAACAAACAAAAACAATAAAAGCAAAGTAAGAAATGCTGCCCTTCCTCCGTATTTTCAGAGGATCGAAATTGATCTATTTTTGATCTACGTCAGTGCATCAAGTATGTGGAATTAGCCCACCTTTTGTGGGTCTCTCTACTAATTTGGTTTTCACATTGCGTGAGATAACTTTATGCTCTGTTGAGTTACAAGACTGACAGTTAAACGCACCTGATTATACCATCACAATGAGAGCAAAGGGAGATCAAAATAAGCATCTAAATGGAGGAAAGAGGGACTTCTGCTCGACGCGCTACGTGTTCAGACTGAAAAAATAAAAATGCTCAGCAGGTTGGGCTCTTCTGGTGATTAGCAAAAAAAAAAAAAAAAAAAAAGAAAAATTTCCAGACTGCTGACACATTTCTTTTGAACAGCGCCTGTCTGAAAAAGGCAGATATGGTTAAAAAAAAAAAAAAAGAGAGGGAAAATGGATGAAATCTGTGTCAGGTCAGATAGCAGCCAGCAGCTCTCCGGAATAAGTCTCTGCTAAGCCACAAACACACAGGATTAGGAGCTGAAGTACTGGCCGCGAAAGGATGAAGAAAGAAAAAAAAAAAAGGCAGGACAATATTAAATGATTAGTGACAACTTAAGATAACCTTTAAATTACTTGGTTAAATACAGTCTACAGTGTGCGCTCTATGAATATGAAAGAGTGAAGTTGTTGAAGGATGTGCGCTGGGTCTAATATTGAAGCGATTCCTGAAAAACCTAATTCTTTAAAACGTATCTCTAATGCAAAGAGGAAGCAGCTTGGTGAGCAGAGGAGCCAAGTAGTGGTGGAAGAGGATTTAAGTCTAAGTTAATGGTTGTTAGTAGCACACTTGTTTTATTATTATTATTATTAGTATTATTATTATTGATGTAATTATTTGGTCAAGTTTGTGTTCAAATGCATTGGATAAGGTTGTTTTTATATACTGGCGAAGAGGTATATGCCCCGCGAAAATATTTATGCCCATTAAACTTCCACAGTTTGTCACATTACAGCCCTATACTTCAATTGGATTTCATACAACAAACCCACACAGAATAACACACACCTGTACTTGAACCATTGTTAGGGGAGTAGAAGAACTGCACTGAATAAAGCAGATCAAAAGAAGATCCATTTGTACTTTAACAAAGTCATGTCGGAGTAGGAAGTCAAATTGAATCAAAGTTAAACTTTTTTTCTTTTACATAGCTTGTGACACACATTGTGTGCCAGAAAGCTAACGTAACATGTCAAGTTAAAAATGACTCAAGTGGTTTGGAAATGTGCAAAAAAAAAAAAAAAAAGCCAATAATCTCTGAAATGTTCAACAAATTGCTTCAGTTCTGATTTGGAGAGAATCTGAATTAAATAACCACAAGATGGCGCTACACTTCATCATTTCCGTTTGGAACAGCTTAACTCTTGGTGCGAACAGCTGAAGCATATTGACTGACATGGCATTAACACTGGCTTCCGTTCACTTTGCTCTGACAAGCTTTGCAAGGCAAACTTTAAACATATTTAGTCTCCATGAACTGATCATAGATCACAGAATAGGCACATCCTCATTCCTTTTCAAGTTCACTTATTTAATGTTAGACAAGACCTTACATTTCCCATTCAAACACAGCAGTCGCTTGCATGCACTGCAAATGGGGGGTCATGATATAAAAGCATAGACTGAAATTACAGTTGAAACCAGTAGATGGCAGTCTGTCTACACAGAATCATCCAAAAGATTTTTTTTTTTTTTTTGTCTTCTGACTTGGCCTTCCTTCCTCAGCAAAAGTTCCTGAGTGGCAGCATCTTTGCGGAGTATGATGTAAATTAACCCTGGAAAGAAACATTTATGCTGTAAGAAAGTACAAGAGAGCAGATGTGTGAAAAAGATTTGAATAACAGCTGCATGCACACAAACTCTTCTGCCCCCCCCCTCCTTCCTTTCTTATTTTCCTCTTAGATCTCTCATGCTTCATCTCTCGCACTTTTTACAAAGCCAAATGGCATCACAACCCCACCATTCGTGCACGCATGCACACCTCCCCGCCATCTGTGAGTGCAGCGGCCCGTGTCCCTTGCACTGGGAGCATTCGGGGAGCACGAGAGTGAAAGAGAAAGTGTCTCCCGGCTCTCCGGTTGTCTCCCCCCCCCTCACCCCTCCCGTTGCGCCGTTGTCTGTCAAGCGGCCACGCGGCAACGTCGCCCTCGTCTTTCCCCCCGCCATCGTGTCACCTGCGCGCTCCACAGTCTCGAGAGCGCAACTCTGCTTTGTTCATTAACTACACTCGCAAACACTGGAGCTCGGCGGGGGGCAGAACAAACAAGCGCCAACGGTTAATTTATTAAAAGTCTCAGTGCCACAGATGGCACAATTACAGCCTCTATTTCTTCACCAGGCAGACTTATTTAGCTGAAAACACAGGGCACAGAAAGTGGATATTATCTGTCAATATTACCTCTGCCTGAGATGTAGAGAAGCAAAGTGATTTTCTCTGCACGGGTCTTCATTGTATCTAACAGCTCGAGTTTATTGTCTCTGTGAAAACAAAACACATAAAGTCAGACACCGCAGTGCCTTCACCTAAAGGTGATTAAAATCAGCAGTGAAATTGGTGATGGTTATTATCTCAAGCTGGACAAAACTTTTCAGGGTTTAAAAAAAAAAACATCTGCGCATTCAGCTTCTGCAGTTTTCTCCTCTTTTCTCAGCGTCCTCCTCCGTTTAGACGGCAAACAAGTGCAGTCATAAGAGCCGTTTTCAGCTGAAGTGATGAGAAACGGCAGCAATCAGCCAGGGGTCTGGAAGCTGCCTATGTTCATTCTTGTATGTGTTTGTGCTTATGTATTTGCAAAAAATCGACAATAAAAAAAAGAAAAAGATTTCTTGAAACTATTACTTAGGTGAATGAATAAGAGTTATTATGGAATGACTTGGGGGGAGGGGGGTCAGGAAAGGAGCAGGTATTGCAACAATGTAAAGAAATGAAAGGATAATTGCAACAATTTTGTTCTGGCTTGAAAACTGAAAAAGGAAAAAAAAAAAAAAATCGGAAGAATTTTCTATGTAGAGCCAACGTATTCTAATGCAACCAGGTCTTTTCCTGAGCCGTTAATCCTGTATTAATAACTGAATTT